CAATTTTACTGTTCCTAATATTCTGTATGTTAATTGGAAATTTTTTTTTTTTTTTTTTTTTTTTTTTTTTTTTTTTTTTTACAATTTATAATTTAATGTTAAGATAAATAAGGTCACTGGCTTTCTCATGCAGAAAATACATCAATTAATATTTTTAACTATACTTTTTAAGCCAACATTTCTGAGCAAATACACAACAGAAACCATTATCATTTTAGACTCATTTTCAAGCAATGAGCAAATACTAGGTAAACTATCAATCATGAATAAATACTATGAATAATTATCCTAGGATATGCGAACATTAGAAAAAAATGTATCAACAGCATCTCACAACTTATGTTTTAAATGTAACCAATTCTGTCATAATGTTATATGTAGTCAATGAATATATTGGCAAAAACACTAGATAAATACCCCCCACTGCATTTGGTTTTATATTAATGTTGAGATTTAAGTCAGATAAAAGGAAAAGAGACAAAAAGTCACAAACATAGCCCAAACATCAAAGCACCACCATGAAGAGTTGAAGCATTAGATACAAGACAGAGAAGCAGCACTTTCATCACTGAGGTAGATGAGAAAGAGATAATGGGCCCCAAGAGATGGGGGATACCTTGACTTCGGACTCTATCAGCAGGGATTCGTTCCATCTGCGTCTCAACAGGGTTGTCCCATCTGGGCCTAATAACCAAAGAATCCTCAGGGAAAGTCATTTGGATGTAAGTGAAAGGTTCACTCTCTATTACTGAGGCATTGGTGGTTCTGCTTTCATCATCAGATAAGGCAACAGCCTCCTGTTTGTCTTTCTCTGCCTGAGCCAAACTCTCGACTACCTTAGCTGCCTCATGACTAATCTCTTCAAAAAATTTAATGGACTGTTTGTTTGTGTCAGTTCGCTGAACCTTTTTTTGTTTTGCTAGTGTGGAAGTTTGAACTGGCTGGTCAGGCTTTCCCCTGATTGGTAATCTTGAAGGAAGTGTCTTAGTTGTGCTGGATAGGTCAGTGCTTGTTGGACAATTCTGGCCCTTTTTGGCTGTTTTTTTGGTGGAATCACTTTCACAGAAGCTCTTGGCTTTAGAAGACTTTGTTAAACTGGAGGCTATGGATGGGCCTGTGTCTGTCTCAGATTTTCTCCTTGATTGAGGTTTTATGGGCAACTTTGACTTCTTATCCTTGGCAAGTTCTTCACATTCAGACCTTAGAGAGCTGGCCTTAACCGGGATTCGGGATTTTGGTTTCTCTCCCTCTTTGGAGGTGGACATATCTTTTCTAGTCGTAGATGATAGAGATGCTGCAGTGTAATGCTTAGATACAAGTTTACTGTGGGATTCTGTCTTTTCAGGTGATTTGGTTTGTTCTATTACTGAGTGCTGATCCTCTGGGGAGGAATCTGAGGACTCTTGGTCTTGTTGGGAACAAACTGATCTAGTAACTGTTGACACTGCTGTCTGGACATTGGCTATGACAGTGTCAGAGGAACCAGGATCAGATTCAAAATGTCCCTCACTCATAACTTTGTCTGATTTAACCTCTAACATTGTTTGGTCCTTCTCTGAGGTTTTGGTTGAGGCAGAAATATCCAATTTGATGGGGGATTTAGATTTAGAAAAATCTGACTTTGTAGCTGCAGCCAGGTTATCCCCAGCAGGAGAATGTACAGATAAATCTGCAGCCTCTTTAAGGAGGTCTTCATCCTCCTCTGCTTTTACTTGCAAAGAGAGGTTACAGCCAATCTCATTCTCAGCATCATTGGATGTTCTAACAGCTTCATTACCTCCTTCTTCAGCTATGACCTCTACAATGGGTTGCTCTATTTGGTAAAATGCAAAACCTTCCTCCTCGTAACTCCTTTTTGTCATGTCTATCGCACCACTTCTTGTCATCTCAAAAAGTTTTCCTTCTTGAAAAAGGAAAGGATTTTGTTCACTTGTTGGTGTACCCTCCTCAGTGGGTGTCCTTGCTGGTGTTGTGTCTGAAGTAGCCCCTTGGGAATGCCGATCTACAGCCAGACCAAAGATATTTTGCTCTTCCTCTTTGACTCTTGCTGCAAATGCATCATCATCTTCTTGCATTGAATTCCAGGAGTCTGTCTCTGCTTTTGCTGTAACTCCTCTAGATTCAGTCTTAGGAGGTTCCTCCTCAGCATCATCTTCCTCTGTGTCATCATAAATACATATTTCTGGTTTAAACGTTTCTTTTGTTTGCCCAATAATAATTGGAATAGAATCAATATCTAAGCTGCCACTACAAATATCAACATAAAATGTCCCTGCATGCCTCATGTAATCCCTTTTAATCTCATCCGTTACATTAGACTCTTCCTGACTATGTGATTTGCAGTCAACGTTTTGGGAATTAGCTGCCTCCTTCTGTTGTTCATGACTGTACGTTTCTTGAATTCCTTTTGATCTTTTTAAGCTTTGTTCTTTTTGTTCATCAGTTATATTTGCAACCAGATTTTTGCTGTTAGGGGCAGTTTTGTTCAGCTGTACTAACTCTGAATCAACATAATCTTTGTCCTTAAATTTCTGACTATGAGACTCTTGAAGGTGTGGTTTTATGGTATGCTTTTCTGAGACAGACTGTGGTCTCTTCATTGCTGATTCAGCCGAAGATGCTGCACTGTGGGCCATGGTTTGTTGAATGTCATCAGGTGTTTGGGGGCTCTTATGACTACCTGCTGGAAAAGGAGAGGGAGGTTGTACTTTAATGATCGGTTCAACAGACCGTGCTATCTCTGAGGCTTGTTTGAGTTCACTAAACCCAACATCACCCAAAGAGGATGTTTCATGTTTGGATGCAAGCCCAAACAGTTTGAAGCTGTCATCTCCTGCATCAGATGCTACCAAGGTCTGAGAGGATTCACTATCTTTTCTATTGTCCTTTTTGTCTTTTGCATCTTGTTCCATTTCATCAAACGTTTTTATTTTGGCAGCCATTTTAAACATCTCTTCTTCTGGAGTAATTTTCCTCTGTGTCAGGCCACACTTCAACTCATCATCTTCTACTGTCTCCTCTGGGATTACTGATGGTTTAAAGGGAACAATCAGGACCATGGGGTCTGGGGTTTTAGGATTGACCTCATAACTAACCTCTTCAGAACTTGGTGTGTCAGGTGAGAGAGGACTCTTACCCGAACTTGTCATCAGGGACGTCTGCTCACAACTGTCATCGTCGGCATTACCCTCCTGTTCTTTGAGCATTCTACTGCGCAAACTGTCTGGTGGGATTTCAGGGGCTTTGGAGGATGTCAGGGGCCCTGTGGTCACACTGGGTTGTTCTATTGTAGGTGGAAAAGCCAGGTTGGTTTTCATCTCTATGGGGCTGCTTTCTAAAGAGTCACGGCACGGGGATTCTTTTGTTGGACTAGGCTCAATAGAGTCTGGGGTTTTATGGGAAGAGTTGTCTTCCACTAAGGGACTACCCTCTAAAGAGTCCTTGTGGCTAATAGTAAAAGAGTCATCAGCTACTGGACTAAGGTTCTCTGAATCTTGGTGTCTAAGAGGTAGCACTAAACCACCACGATCCTGTGTAGCTGCCCTTGAGGCCAGGGAGTCAGCAGAGGTTGGTATTGGTTGACCATCAAAGGATTCCTCATCACTCAAAAAACACTCTAGTGTTTCAGATGTTCTTTTTGTCAGTTTTCGAGATTTAGATGTCTTGGATAACACCGAAACAATGTCCTTATCAACAGAAGTTTGTTCACCCTCAAAGTTCACCCCCCTATTTCCATGAGGAATAGACATAGACTCACTTTTTGTTGGTTCATCCACTGCATGGCTCAACGGTGGATGATGAACTGTAGCTTCAGATGCCTGTTCATTAGTTGTCTTCATCTCAGTAGAAAAGGAAACATATACTTTACTTGTCTTGGCTTTAGGGGTGACTGCTACTGATTTTGTGGTCTTTGCAAATATAGACTGAGCTGTTTTTTTCTGTGATAATGAGAGGCTCTCAGGGCTTGTTTCTGGAGTCTCAGCCATGCCCTCATGTTTGTAACTTTCCTCAGAACTCAAAGGAGCTTCCACTTCAGCGAGGCTGGCATTGGGCGAGTCGACCAATGCTTCATGTCTAATGCTGTCAGAGATGTCATCAAACGCACTGTTCTCTGTACCATTATCAGGCAATAGATCTCTGCGCTGTTCTGACAAATTTTGAGGAATTACTGTTGTCATGCTTGAGTGAGTAAAAGGACCTGCTGACACTATTCCAGAAACCAAAGCCTCACCACTCTTTTCCTGTGGATGCTGACGACTCTTTTGACTCGTATCTTCTTCAATGTCTTCAGAGTATTTTATGTGTGGACTAATTTTGACTTCTTTTTCTTCATGGTGATCTTCAGGCTTTAAAACATCAAGAGACACTTCTTCATGTGAGGGTGCTTGGGGAAGACTTTGTGACTTTGTGAGGATAGCCTCTGGTTTACTCACTATTGTGCATTCTGTTTTGGAAGGCCTTTTGTGCTCAAAGAGCCCAGATTTTCTTTTTGAGGGGTCTTGGCCAGTTTGAAATGCTCTCGTTAGTTCTCTCACAGACATGGTTTCTTCTAGTCTCCCAGGCTCAGAGCTTGGTGACCTAGAAGGAGACTGTTTCTGGGGTGAAGAAGTCTGTTTTTTCAGGCCTGATGTTTTCTGATCTTTGACAACAGAAGATGCTTTGGCTTCTGTAGCTTTATATGGAGGTTTTTGGCCTGTCTGTTTTTTCTGACCTTTTTGTTCTTCCTCTACTTTCTTTTGAAGAGCCTTAACTTTCTCTTTAATGGAACCGATGGGTGTCTCTTCAACCACTGGTGAAACAGGAGACTTTTTTTGGTCTCCAGGGACGGGTAGAAAGGCATCCCCTTTGGAAGACTTCCTGGGACTTTTACTTGCAATGCTTTCTTTTGTGCTAAATGACTGGGTTTCATCGGTGTGCCCTTGAGGCCCTTTTCTTCTGACTGGCTTTTTTACTTCTGTTGTATGGGCCTTAGTGTCTTTTGCCACTGTAGGGACTATTTTTCGACCACCTCTGCGCAGAACAACCTCAGTGAACCTTTGCTGTGATGGAGACTCTTGGGATGTAGGCCTAGATGTTTCAGGTGCATCCAATAAGTATTCCTTAACTTCAGCACTGGGAACAGTCTCTATGCCAGGCCTGTCCCTAGCACCCTTTGATTTCTGTGATCCTCTGTTGACTCGAACTTCCTTTAAAAGTGATTCTTGAGATTCAAAGGCAGCCATAATTTTTGCCTCTTCGATTTCACTTTCTGTTAGGAGAACCCACCCCTCATCCTTCCTATATGGACGGCTGTCTGTTTTTGCAGACTCTTCCTTGTCACATGTTCCACTTCTCAGAATTTTGCTAACTTTCTCCAAATCCTCTTTGACTTTTTCCATTATCTCAAAAGGCTCTGCTGACACCTCCTCCACCCCCTTATCTAAATAATACCCTTGCATGGGACCCGCTTTCACTGAGGAATCAGTGGTCAGAATAGCAGTCATTTTGATAAGGTCTTGTTTCATCTCTGACACTTCAGAGAGTAAATCTGGACTTGCAAGAGCAGGAGAGTCTCGGATCAATTGTGTTTTCAGGAATGATGTTTCAGTTTTTTCATTGTCTTCATCATCTTCCATTTGGATGACATTTAAGGAGCAAATTAACCAAAATTTAAATTAAAGGGACAGAGATTGGAAAAGGAAATAAGGGATACATTCAGAGTTTTAAGGGCCTGAAGGCATCAAGATGACAAAAAGCTAAGTGGACTGTGGGATAATGAGTGGAGAGTCTACTGGACTTGTGGGAGAATAACAACTGCAAAGCAAATACTAACCAATTCTTAAAGACAACAGAAGAATAAGCAGGACACTTGCTTGTTCACGTTTGGTTCAACAGCACACTCACACACAAACAAAAAAGACAAACTACTGTGATAATTAAAAAGGGAGATGAAATAAGCCAACCCAAACACTGGGACATGTACTGAAAAACAGTGACAAAAAGTAGACATTGCTCATGTATAACTCATGTCTAGAGAAGAAAGAAAGAGAGAGAGAAAGAGAAAGAAAGAAAGAAAGAGAGAATTCAATAGAGAACTTAATAAAACTAAACTCATTAAAACATTTTTTAAGAAAGTCAGTGATGTAACTAAAATGGAATACAGCAAAAAAAATGTGAAATAAAAGCATTTGAAAAAACAACATAAGCAGAATGTTTTTTTTTATCATAACTGAAAGTGAAATTATTATTATTTAATATTAGTAGTGGCAATGATGAATAATGGTAAACAAAGAGCAGTTCCAAAAATCACACACACACACACACACACACACACACATCATTCAAAATACTCTATGTAAGCTGTTATTTGGTAAACTAACATATGTACTAAACTACTGTGTACTAAGTTCCATGTAGTAATAGATCTGGATTCAAATTTTTATATTTGCATATGAACAATATCCTAATGTATGTACTATACTTATAGGTCACATTACATATTGTGGTGATTTGATACTCTCTAAAGCAATAGTAAGCGAACTATAGAATGCTAACATCCAACTATATATATATGAAAGCACTAAAAAAGCTACTAAGGAGGGTGACTAATACAGATTTGGATGAAAATCATAATTTGCTTTGCAGATTGTTATTGTGTAATGAAGGGAATAGGGCTCTAAAACAGTTGAAAACATAAACATCACCACGGTATGAATGAAATTCATATTGTGCACAAAGTGATTATTCAAAAACATCTCCCTCTATCATGATTCATGAACCGATCAGAATAAAACTAATATAAAAAAAAAAAAAGAAAGCTACACTCATTTCTATCACCTAAAACAGAATCACTGTAACACCTAAAGCAGTGGTTTTAAATCCTAGTCCTGGGGAACCACAGCTCTGCACATTTTTATTTCACTTATTCAGCACACTAGATTCAGATCATGAGCTTGTTAGGCGAGAGCTGAACTGAACTGTGTAAGATAAGAGAGACATACAAAATATGTAGAGCAATAGGTGGGGGGTTTCCCCTCCTCTGGTCTATGCATACCTGCCTCTGCTGAATTAATTTTATCCCCGGTGGGGATAAAAACATCCCGCGAACCCGCTCCGACGTCCCGATCTAAATCAAATGATTCGCGATACGTGCTTTAAAGTCCCGTTCTGAATCAAATGATTCGCGATACACGCTTTGAAGTCCCGATCTGAATCAAATGATTTGTGATACGCGATCCGATTGGAGTGCTGCTGAATCATTTCGATTGGAGCGCTTCGAAACAGTGAATCATTTTGCGACGCAATGGTTGAACTGATTCGGAGTTTCAAAAAGGTTTCAAAAAGCTCCATTGTGTTCTTTGCTCGCTTTCTCTATATAATTTATTCGTTGTTTGAATAACCGTGGAAATGAAATCATTACAATTAATAGGCCTAATGAACAATGTTTTTATTAAACTGTGATCACGTTAAATACAGTTTCCGACGTATTAAAAACATTTCATAAAAAGTTTTCAAAAGCATTCTGTTATATATATATATATATATATATATAACACAATGC